CACTCCTAACATATATGCCCAAGCTGCCTTTGCTAACTTGTATTTAAGGACTTTGTACTGAGATTGAATAATTTTTATTTTCTAGAATAGTTTACTACAAGAGTTGTATTAATTTTTTATTTTCCTCATATAAATTACAGATAAAGAAGACCTATCTTCAAATTGCCCAGGACCAACTTCTGCAGATCATGAATAAGATTTATTTCCCATAAAGTGGAACCTATAAAATGTTAATGTTTCCTAGAGATGGATAATTCAGCAGTTTGAAATTCCAAATTTTTTTGGAATGCCAGTGAAGAAAAGGGTCCTTTACATATGTTTTGTTCTTTTTGTACTGTAGAGGATCTACTTTGTATTTTAGAAAGTAATAAATTGTTCACTAACTTGGAAAAAATAATGCAATGCTATTTTAGAACATTAAGTGTCATACACATAGATAGTTAGAATTTGTGGCTGTATTTGATGCTTGTGAGGTTTAAGGACACCAACAAGTAACTCTCTTATTCCCCTCTTCACATTGGGGCACAGTGAGAAATAAGATGGGGGTGAGAGGGAGCTAAAAAAGATTGGCTTCCTTAGTGATGAAGCTGAATTAGGGAATAAGGTTGACTCTTTCTCCAATCAGACTCCTCAGATTTCTCCCTGATTGGAGAGAACTGCAGGACTCTCCCTTGTTGGGCCAGAGCCCGTCTTTGCATTCTGAGACCAGTTAGCTTTCACAGGTAAGGAATCCACCAAGGGCTGGGCCACAGATACTCTTTTCCTCCTCCCAATATCACCTATCAGATAAGACAGTCTCTGTTGAAAGTATCCAATGTACACAGCCCTATTATGAAACTAATTTATAGTTTTCATACAAAAGCTATAACCTAATTATAGCCTAAGAATATGGGGAGAGGAAAGGGGGGGTGGATGGGTGGAGGGAGGGTGATTGGAGGAATCACCTCTATGGTTTATCTTAACAAGGGTACAAGTGAATCTAGGAAAATGACATAAAGGCTATGTTAACCAGTTTGATGAAAATATTTCAAATTGCATATGAAAACACCACACTGTACCCCATGATTGCATTAATGTACACAGCTATCATTTAATAAAAAAAAAAAGAAAAAAAAAAAGACAGTTCTCTGTTAAGAAAGAATGAACGAGGGTTCAGGGAACTTGTTCCCACCCTTTTTTTCCCCAAGAAGTTCCTTTCCTTCCACCCAATAAGACTGATGTAATGTTCTACTAAGACCACCAAAGTCTAATCAGTTTTAGAGATGAAGTGATTATCCATTTCTGGTAAAATCATGAGTTTTCATTGTAAGTGATCTGTTGTAAGTTTTGGGGCTAAAGAAACTTAAGAATTGGGAGGAACCTGAAATATCACATGATCCAAGTACTTAGGGAATTTGGAAACCCCTGGAGAACTTTCCTAGCAGGTATCAATTAAACTACCTTTTAAAGTAAGGACAAACCACATGGCACATTATTAGAGTTCCACCCAGGGTCAGACATCAAAATCATGAACATTTATAAAACTTGCTATGCTCAGGTGTCTCCACTAGTAATTTTGATTCAACTAGTCTAGGATAATTGCTGGATTTATTTTAAAGTCTCAAGAGTGAGTCTAGTAAGCACCCAAGGATAAATGCTGTTGGTTAAACATAGAGCACCACTATTCTTTGGATAGAACTGTGATTTTACAGTTTACTTTTTAAGTTGCGCTGAACAAGAGATCAACCTCTTATTAGAAGCAGCATATACAAGAAATAGCAAAAGCTAACCTACACTTGTGTAGTTGAGTTAATTGGTAGTACGACCTGTATTAATTTCTGACCTAATTTACTTGTTCTTCAGTTTAACTGGGGAAGCCTTAAAAAAATAATACAAGAGTCCCATTCCCAGGGGTTCTGATGTAATTGGTCACT